AATGATATACGGGTGAACTTAAATTGGCCAAAAATTTATTTCATTAGTTGATGAAAATGTTTTCTGTCAGTGACGTAAATTGTATCATTATTGGGTTTTGTATCATTAGCGTTCAACATCGATGTCTTATACATGATAAGATTTATTTACTGAAATAAAATAATGACAAATCCTTCATTACATGTACATCATCAGTGTATGGTGTTTGGATAGGGCCATTTGCGTTAGCGCGACATCGCGTTCAGATAAACGAGACATCGCGCTAACACACAACACGCCGTCGCTATCGCAATTTTGCACAACACGCCGTCGCGCTAACACAACTTTGCAAAACACGCCGTCGCGCTAACACACAATGCGCCGTCACGCTTACGCACAACACGCCGTCGCGCTAACACAACTTTGCACAACACGCCGTCGCGCTAACACAACTTTGCACAACACGCCGTCGCGCTAACACAACTTTGCACAACACGCCGTCGCGCTAACGCAACTTTGCAAGTTTCACAGTCTTATATTTCCATACACGACTTCCTACTAGACTGTGAAACTTGCAAAGTTGCGTTAGCGCGACGGCGTGTTGTGCAAAGTTGTATTAGCACGACGGCGTGTTGTGCGTTCGCGTGACGGCGTGTTGTGTGTTAGCGCGACGGCGCGTCGTGCAAAGTTGCGTTAGCGCGACGGCGTGTTGTGTGTTAGCGCGACGGCGCGTTTATCTGAACGCGATGTCGCGCTAATGCAAATGGCCCTATCCGGACACCATATCAGTGGGTTTTATTTATTGATTTTATTTTTACTACAAAGGACTCGGAAAGATTTTTTTCACTAAAAATCGTCATGTTCGAAATCCTATATGACGATTCTCTTTCCTTATTTTTTTATGAAGTTTAAATATGTGTAACGTTGTGATTTTCAACATGTGTTTAAGGTAAGATTCTTCTCTGGTTTCTGACTAGATGAAACATTCAAAGTATATTTGCTTATATATCTTATATATTGAGGTGTAAGGAATTTAAAAGACCCTATTTTTCTTTCCTCATCACAATTGTACAACTTTCAATAGAAATGGTAAACTGCTTTTGAAAACTAGCAGGGACTATATTTTTGGCGGAATAGTGGCATATGAAAATATCTTCTTTTCTAACTCTCAAAATTATCATAGAACAATGAATTTAGTTATAATTTTTACACAATCGAAGACTTGGAGAAATTTTCAATTGAAAGTTAAATTAATAATGAGGGACTAAACTTTCAAAATATATCAAATAAATATATCAAACAAATTAGAACTTTATTAGCTTTTAAACGCTTCCTATCAAAGTGCAGATTTGAGCCAAAAATCGATAAATGGTATTTTTTCTCTCATAGTAAACGATCAAATCTTTTTGTTTTTGTATCATTTTGTACATTTATAAGACTACTTTATTATATGTGAAAATAAGAAAAAGTAAAATATAGGAAGCATATGAAAATAACTTATATATCCTAAAAAATTAAGAAAAACAGAGAAAATTCGGATTAGCCAATATCCAGTTAAGTTAAATTATTTATGTAGATTTGGTAATATCTTGCTATAGACCCAATATAGTAATATGTTTTTATGCAAAAAGAACAATCATTTAACTTTTGAAATAGAAGTAGGTATCACATGATTGGCAAGTTATTTTTTATTCTTAATGTCAAGGAAAAAGATAATGACCTTGACCTGACCTTGCCTTTAATATAAAACGGTCAAATTTAATTTCACTGATACGATCACTTACTGATATTGTCTTCTTGATTCTGTGAAAATTTCATTAATTTTTAAATATTAGAAATATGAGAAGAATCCTACCTTAATTGTTTTCCATTGTGCATATTTGATACATGTACCATATAACGCCATTTTCACTGTACTTTTTAACAATAACTGTTACATAGGACTTTTAACTTCGAAAACAATGATTATTCCTACCAAATCTCAACAAATGCTAGGACCGTCACCATGGATTGGCAAACTAAGGAAATTATGATTTTAAGTTTATACTTTGCTGACATGGAATGGGGACGATAAATTAAGAATACTGTACAGTTTCAAAATTGTCTTGAAATTGTATCATCGTCTTGTTTATCTTCTGTGTGCAGATATGACAGCATATATGCGAAATGAAAAGCCATTAATATTTAATATATTCAGCTGTATATCAGTAGAAAAGAAATAAAGCAAATCATCATTTCTACACAATTGAAAAGAACATTTCAATTTTAGTCAAAAAATGTTCAAATAAAAAATATACACGATTGATTTGAAACGTGATTAGGTGTGAAAGCGATTGCAGGTGCATCAATTTATATTGTTTGATAACAGATAGAAAAAGAGATATACGTGTTATTTAATACTCATCATTTTATCCAAATGTTTGATATAGAAATTTCCAGAAGAATACATTTCTCATTATTGAGAGCGCTGTTTCTTCAAGTCTGTTTACAGAATACGACTTGCAGACGTTCTCTGATTGTACACAGAATCGAAGACGCATTTATCAATATTATGCAATTCAGAAGAACCTTGGACGTGCAATGCAATGGTTAAATTCATCTCTTTTCCCGTCAGAGTACCACCATTATGTTAAACGCCGTCATTTCCGGTTGCAGATTAAAAGTAAACTAAGTATACAGCAGAAACGGAATAGCGTCAGCCTTATACTTATTACTCAATGTAAATATTAGCCCAAACGGTCATCCATCAAAATAGACTTTCTACACTCGAGATATTCAGTTTTTTTTTCTTTTTGTGTGTTATCTTTCCTTCGAGATATCGAATATCATGGATGTGTCGAAGTCAGTTAAAATTGCAACCTCCTTTTCTTGTTGAATTTTAATCTCGATATCTGGTTATATTGGATAGGCTTTTCCCCCATCAGGTTCGAGATAATTAGGTTACATTTATGTAAAATTGAACTCATTAAAAATATGAGTTTTGAAATATTCTTTGTGGTTTGGTTGGTTAACTGTTACTTTCTTTTTGTTGCATTGTATTCTTTCTGTTTTCATTCAAAAAAGTATGAAAAATTGATTCAAGATGTGTTCCCTTTTGGCCCATTATGTAAATTGTGAATTAATTTAACTGCAATAACTATAAATTAACAGATTTCAATTTGGGTTATTCAGTTGAATGTATTATAGAATACAGAGCATACAAACTTCACCAAATCTATTTATTGCTATTTCAATCTCGAATTGATAGGTGACAAATAGAAGTCACTGTATGTTACAAAACATTTTGGACTGTTTTATCCTTTAGAGATCTTGAGAGGATTCGATATAGAATTTTGCTTTTCAAACACAAAAATAAATTGATAATCATACAAAGTAGAAAATAGTATAGATTTTGCAATAATTGTCCAACCTTATTTTTTTCAAAAACATTTATGGCTTAAAAATTAGGTCACGATATGACAGTATTGAACAAAAAATTGTACTAAGTCATTTTAAGATATAAAACTGTTGCACAATTTCATCACAAATAATAGAAGGAAGGATAACTAACAAACACACAGACAAAGCTCGCTGTTGAATTCCTATTTGCATGAATGTATAATGTTTAAATGAAGTGAAATTTCTAAACATTAACAATACCTAAATCAAGGCTTTCGCAGTAGGGATGTGTAATTTGCGATCAAAACCCAATTTGACGAAGAGTTAAAAACGTCGACTTTGCAAAGCAATTAGTTAATCTGTTTAAAGTAATGCAGAAAAATATGAAGGTAAATAAATTCTTCAAGAATACAGTATAACCCACAAAACAAAATTGCATACATGTGTATCTCCATCTAGAACAATATTCTTGATCTGGAGACAGGTACCTCTCTCAAACCTCTGCACCAACTTATTCCAAAATCTACATGTTGAACTGAATACAGCTCTGTAAATTTATGAAAAATCGGGGGGGGGGGGTGAATTTTGTGATTACTGCACTACAGTAAAAAAAAAAACAGAGACTTAATCCCGCTTTCGCTTACACTGGCATGAAAACCAATTACAAACGAGGAAATGTAGCATTAAAAGTGAGACCTTAATTTGCTTCCCGCTGTAAATTGTAGATTTTAGAAATTTTGAAGAAAATAGGTCTTATTTTAGATCTAAACTTCAACTGCATCATTTATCGGTAACTTTGTTAATTTTTTGATGGTATTCAAGAGGTTGCTCATAAAGCAATCTTTTGGGAACGTTAATTTTTTTTACTCATTATATCTTATTGTGATATAGGCAGGCGCTACATGATTATCTACGATTGATGCAGCATTTTGGCAAATTGATACAGTTCATTTTTGAGAAAATAAATAAGCTAGTAAGATCTATATAAAGATCTTTTCTTTTCTTTTCCAATGTCCTTCTCAAGTGTACAGTATTCTTATTTTCAATATTATTAAATTCAATAAAACTCGAATTTTTTTTTCTGTAAGTAAAGGTCTAACACAAATAATTATTTGAAATTCTTTTTAAAAACACATTTATAAGTTGATTGATAGGGGAAAATCGTACTTTGACTCTTTTTCTATAATAAGATTAAAGATATATAAGTTTGCTTTTTAGTAAAATGTTTCGGATATTACAAAATTGCTTTTGATAACTAACCACCACATAAAACACCAAATGTGAAATCACGTAAAAATTTCATTTCAAACTTTACGGGAAATCCATTCATAATTCTTTTTTCAACTCGTAAAAATTTGCATATTGAATGTTTATCGGCTATAACGAGCTTAAAATGCGACGTCATAGTGAGAAAACCCGTGGATTTGTTGGAGTGGGAGTATTTTGTACACATTAGTAAGGTTTCAGCTTTTACAAAAACAAGTGATCAGAAATCAGTTACAATCAATGTATATAAAAACAAAGGTCCATTGCACGAAAAAAAAAAACGCCAAAGAGAAAAATAATTCGCCAAAAATATAGACGTTTTTCAAAATACAATCGAAATTCGTAAATGCTAGTAATTACTGAAAAAATATTCTAACCTTTGATGGCTCCGTGAGATATCCCTCGGGAGGACAAAACTCGGCAAGGTCTATAATCAATTGAACTTCTGACGCCACAAACAAAATTGTCGCGCTCCATTTGGATTCGCGTCGTCCTCTGTCCTGAAACGGAGCAAGAGAATCGGGCAATTCATCATCATCAGAAAACTTTTCGTTGTCTGAATACACGACCTGAAACTGCGGAAATTCCAGATTGTCGTCAGTAGAAGGGTTTTCGTCGTTTCCATTTGTTTCCTGTCCATCGCCATGGCATTCTGTCGACCCATCTTCTGATATGAACAGACCCTCACACTCTCCATCTTTATTGCTTTCATTTTTATTTTCAGAGTCACTTAATTCATCCTCAAGGAAAAATGTAGCCTGGCATTCTTCCTGGTCATCGTTGGTCACTTGTGGATTATTTTCTATCGCGGACTCTCTGTCCTCTAGGTGTAATAAGGCCAGATTTCCCGCGTCATTTTCGATTTCATTTCGGTCACGCTGATCAGGTATGTCAATATCTAAAGTTACGCAGAATCTTTCTTCAGGGTTTTCCGACATATGATTGTTTTATTTCCTGAAGGTATATTCCATATTTTACTCAAAGATACTCTCCGGACAATAAATACGTCATTGATTTAAATTTTTGTCCATTTTCTTCCAGACGTTCGCGATTATTTTATTTTTTCCGTTGTATCAATCTGAAAATGTTCTTTATCTCTATGTGAATATTATGTTAACTTTTAGATACATAATCTGACGTTTGATTCGGAGAAAATCGCTCTTGCAGCGCATTCCCCGCGGTTCACCAATCACTGGAGCTTTTAACTCCCGCTGTATCTCGTTGGCAAAATTACTCCGCCACCAGAATCTACACTCGTTTTTAGCGAGGTATTTTACGTTTCGCGTTTAAATGTACTCACTCTGCATTTAAGCACCTCCCAACCTGATGAGAAGTTGGATATATAAAATTTACTAGCGCATGATATTGACATTTATGTATATTATAATTATTTGTGCATAAAATTTAATAAAAACATATAAATTTCATATAATGTACTCCAATTGATTTTCTGTTCCCAAACAAAGAAAAATTTCCTTAACTTTTTTCTTTGAGATTCTACATACCCAGCTTAAGAGCTCAAAACACCACAGAAAATTCTAGACATTTATAAAATTTGATCTCATTGGTTTGCAAAGGCTACGAATCACGAACAGAAGCAGTGATGGCATACTATAATAATGGCAAAATTTTACAGAGAGCATTCTACGGTACAATGTCGAGCAAAATTGCCATCTTTCACTTCTGGATGTTATTTTTGTAGCATGCTAATAGCCAAATAAGAAGAATACCATTTTCCAGGGAAAATGTACCTTTTCACCTCTGGATGTTAAAAATAATTTTAAGGCCGTCTAAATATCAAAGCTTAAAAAAAATTTACGGTTTTTTCTAATATAAAAAATATTGTTTTAAGATCTGAGGCAGATTAAATCTAGTCTGGCGAATAAAAAGGGAATGTTCAAAAAAACCTAAACAACACTTTTTCTGTTGGTAAACCTGTAAACTGAAATTATGCCAACTTGGATCAGGATTCCAATGTGAACGGATCGTGGTCCAACACAACTATAGAGATGAATGACCTTTTTGAACTAATTCGTCTCCACGGGGTGGGGATTTGCCCTTTATCGTCTGTATGGCATCACTGAAATTGATAATGGTACTTTCAGATATGTTTCTGGTTCTGCAAAACATGTTTCGTCAAGACAATGGGATTGCTTATCTGGAGATTTTTTTCGTGTAATATGACCCTGTCTTGTTTCATAATTTAGAAACACTGTTATACCTTTAAGTGGGTTTTTCTGCACCCCGTGTCATGTCTACCATTGCATGCGTTCATTTAACCGATTCCAAAACCAGATGCATTTCGTCTAACATACTTTTTCAACTCAATGTTTGAAGCAAATTTAAAACATAGATAATAAAGTGCATTTATATACAATTGATTTTAGTAAAAAATAAAAGAGTTTAAAGGTAAAAACTTATTGCATTTTGAAAGATTTTGTCACAGTGATTGTGATTTATGAACACGCTATCTTTATCTTATTCAAAAGCTACGATCAAGGTTTAATTGACTGACTTACAGACTGAGGGACGAGTGAGATTTCATGTTAACTTGCTTTTCCGAAAGCTTACATGTATTAATTAAAAAATCCTTAATTTGATACACAGGCACTCTAGTGATAGTACGTGCAGTAGTGTGTAGAAGGGAGGGGAGATTGGTTCCGTTTTCATTTCCGTCAATTTTAGCCAAACGTACGATATATTATTCTAAGATTGATTGATTGATTGTATGTTGTTCAACGTCCCTCTCGAGTATTTTTCACTCATATGGAGACACCACCACTTGCCGGTGGAGAGCTGCAAATTTTGTCCTATACTCGGCATTCAGGACCATTAAGCAGTGGGGGATCTTTTTTCGTGCCAGCATCTGCTGCGACACGGGACCTCGGTTTATACGGTCTCATCCGAAGGACCAGTCTCCGTGTCCCACAGTGGGATTCGAACCCGCGACGTAAGGACTGACTTCTTACTTCGCAACTCGAGAGCAGACGCTCTAACCACTGCGCCACGTAGGCGACTATTGGTCTAAGAAGTAGCTCAAGTATCCTGCAATTCAACTGAAATCAAAAAGCATTCATTCAGTCTTACATTACTGCTATAACTGAACTCAAAAAGGTTTAGATTTGATATATAAATGTCTATTGTATGCATTAGACTAGTCAGGCATTAAGCCTGGTTAGTTATCCTGTTGTATATGTAGCAAATGCAAAATTCACATGCTAATTCATCAGACTTATTAATTGACTATGGTTATTCTAGTCTTGTCTTATGATTCTTTGCACTTCGCAATGGATCATGGGATTCAACTTCATACGGAAGTCCTGTCTTACCTGAGATTTGGTTTTGAGGATACCTCAAGGTTTGGTGAGACTTAATGCAAAAAAAGTATGTTCTCTGCTACTTATCTTTTCATCCTTAGAAATCATCTGTAATTTGTCTGCCGTGCATTCTTGTTACAAGAGGGTAAATTGTTTGACAGATTTACACCTATACAGGTGGTACCAGGGCGTTACATAATATACCCAGTGAGTAAAATAAATTATGCGGTGCAGGTAATGTATATTGTTTAATGCAGTGTTGATAGAGCGTCTCAATTGTAAGCATGCTTTGCTTCATTCTGGAACGGTTTCTAGAGTTCGGTCAACATTTTAAATAAAAATTTTGGATCGATCGCAGCAAAACCAGCGCCTTTGGTTCGTATTGCACCGAACTTTGAGTATTTTTCATTTGTTAGTTTCTTTTTTTAAAACAGAGAAAAACTTAAAAAATGTTCTGCCCCTCTCATCTACCCCGCTCAATTTCCCCCTTTTTAAAATATCTAAGTAATGCATCGTAGCAAGCCAAGGGTTTTGTGTCCATTCTATTTCCACAAAACCCGTGGCTTGCGACGATGAAAGAAACGATGTCCATGGTTTTTATCTTAATTTTAAACTACATGAACATCTCTTCTTAGAGAATTTCCGAGGAAAATTGTTGGGTTTTATATTTTCAATAAGAAGAACTTTACTCTCATATATCAATAGAAACCAAGGGCTGGGCCTTGTTCGCCCATGTCCTTTTCCAATTGGTCATATGGTTTTTTTTTTTACGTCTTTTGGTCTTTTGTAATACAATATATAACAACCACACTTGTATACAACTGAAAAAGCTGCTAAAAACAGAGAGGACTGTTGCTAAGGTCCTGTGTTCCACCAGGAACTAAAAGAAACCTTGATGAAAAATGACACTTGCATACATCTACGTAATATATTGTTTCTTAGATATTATTTTAATTATTTTGCGGAACATACCGATAGAAAATAAAATAAAACGATTTTAGATAAAATATGAATAAAGTGTATTTTATTCATCCAATATCTTAATCGCAATGATCTCGATGCTCCGTTGAAAATTAGCCTGACCTGAATGTTTGATAAATTTCCATCAAAGACGAATCAAAAGAACAATTATAGTTAATTTTGTTGATATTTCATGAATTACCCCCAACAAGTGTCTGCGTTACTAGTATATGAAGTTATGAACCACATCATTAGTCTTTTTTCGTTCCGTGCTAAGAGGTCGTGCTTTAAAAACTCGATTCTATCCAAGTCGAATCCTCAGCAACTAAAAATATTTATACATTGATATCTTCAATATTTGCTGCATATTTATTAGCTTTTATTGGCAGTTATTTTTGAAAAATTGGAGTGGATTCCTGTGTAAAAACAGTAAAAAGAAAGTAGAAATCTTTGATATAGATCAAATAATTACCCAGCACCTGGCAGCAGCAAATTCCATGCTTCGTAAATAGAGTTCGTCTGTATGATTTGGGGGTATTTATGTGAACATCGTGTTGCAACTTTAAGCTTAAGATTTATTTTATCGCTAGCTTCAAACAAAACAAGGGCGTAGTTTAAAGAGACAATGATCTGAGAATTAAAATAATGTGATACTCGGAGAGACCGACGTTACGTAAGGATACATTATTTTCAAAACTGAATGTAGGAGCGAGGTGAGGTTCAAAATAAGGATTTTTAAAGAATCTCGAATGAATCTTTCGCAACATACAACAGTGTATAACTTGCCACAAAATATTCTGAGGAAAGGGGATTCAACATTGTCCACCGAAGGGCCAAACCAGTACCGCCTTCTATGGAGAGATAATCAAGAACAAGATGTGTATGTAAAACACTGATGCCCCAGTATGGCAGCTAATGGCGAAGTTTATCAAATGCAAGTCAGATTCCATGGTCAAGGTTTAAAGATCAAAAGTGTTGTTACCCGGACATAGAAAGACCTTGTCTCGATGAATAATTGTCCAAAGGAAAGTCCAAACACCTACAGTTCAAACGTTAGAGTCACTTAATTTTTTAAGAGTGGGTCAATCTTCAAGGTCAAGGTCAAAATTAATAGTAACCAGGGGGAAGCCTTATTATAAAGAACACATGAACTATTTTAAAGCCCTAATATCAACTGTTCAAAAATCATGATCAAAGGTTTTTTTTCAAAGGTAGGTCAAACTATAAGGTTAAGGCTGAAAGGTCAAAATTGTAAACATCTACAGAAAGGATACACCTGAGAAATATGAAGGCCTTATTACTAGCTGTTCAAAATTCATGGTCACGGTCTATGTTTTAAAAGCAGATCATACTCAAAGACAAAAGTCAAATGGTCAAAAATGTTTATTATCCATAGAGAAATCTTGCCACAATGAATATCTGTAAAGTATGAAAGCCTTATCACCAAATTTTCAATAGTTATAGCCAAGGTTAAAGTTGGGTAAATTTGGCAAAAGTGGGTCAAAATTCAAGGCCATTTGGTCAAATATGTCAGTACCCATAGAAAGTCCTTGTCACAAGAAATACACATGTGAAACATGTTGAAGAAATATCTTCAACAAATCAGAAATTCTTTCATATTTCACAGGATATTCAAGGAGTCAAGTCTTTGGTTTACATTTTTCATCTCTTGACCTTGAAGTATTACTTGATTTGAAAAAAACTTTAGCCTTTGCTATAACCTGTCACACGGGGGCATCATTGTTTCACAAACACATCTTTTTGTTGTTTTTATGCCCCCGTAAACGAAGTTTCGGGGATATATAGTGTTTGGCATGTCAGTCTGTCTGTCTGTCTGCCTGTCTCTCTGTTTGTTTTTTGTCTGTTTGTCCTCAAA